TACTTTAAGTTCAGGTATACAGCTAACAGCCTTACACACACCTTTACCTTTCGATGAGCCAATGCTTGTATGATCACATTTTTAACTCAAAGTTGGAGACATTAAAGTGACCTAAATGATAGACAGGTGTTCATTTTTTTGTGTGAGGGGCCAGAAATCCAGCCAGGGAAAATAAAAGGGAAAGATAACCTGGCAAACCACATTTCCACTCAGTGTTCCCCCCAGGTGATGCAAGACTTAAGACAAATGTCTTGTTTGTTCACCACTGAACGGCCATCTTTCAAGGGGTAGCATGCCGGCGAAAACACACACGCACACGTACACACACATTTTCGCACAGGAGATGATCATTTTTCTTCCTCATGAAGTAGGTAGGGAGAATATTACAATCCAAAATCATAACACATCGCCGTAGGCCATTGGGTCGGAGGAGGAGACAGCTGTGTAATTGAATTAAAGACAGACAGACAGACAGATGGACAGACAGATAGATACATAGACAGATACAAAGACAGATAGTGTTTGTGTGTGTGAGTGAGAGTGACAGCAAAAAGTCTTATCCTCCATTAATAACAGCCACTAATCCCCTGATGTGATTACCTCTCCCTCCTCTACTTTACCCCCCCCTTCCTCTCTTCTACCATCCCTCCTCACTCTACCTCCCATTCAACGGCGCCAGCCACTTGTCTTCCACGGCAGAGCTCAGCTGGTCCAATCCCCCTGAACAGATCCAAGACTTCCACTGTGTTCAGCTGCCAGGACGATGGAGGTCTTCCAATTTGACGCCTCTCCTTACTAGAACTCGCCTCTGGGCAGGTGTATAAAAAAGCAAAAGTCAGCGGTGTAAGCGGCAAAAAGGAAGCACATTTAAACAGATTAGGAGCCATGCCTGTGTTCAAAGCTCTGACACTTAATGCTGCCTGAATGAGAGGTGACGTGTGATATGAATCGTAAAAAGATATGGTTTTGGATGTTCAAACGTTTATGGAAATAACTGCGAGCATTAAGGATTATGGGTGTGCAAAGGGAGGCAACAAGCATGTCAGTATAGCTATTTCTGTCCTCAATGACTGGCTGCCAAATATGTTTTTTCAGCATTTGATAAACTCCTACATCAATATAAAGTCTAGTGTGTTTCTATGGAAACTTAGACCTCCGAGAAGGTTGAAATTTGCCACTTTGCTCAAGATGTGCTGGGTATTAACATGCCACGATAAGTCTTTTCATTCTGTTTAGTTGATATTATCATATGCTAAACATGCACACATTGTTAAATGTACGACACACAGAGCATTTGAGGGTAAAAGCACACATTTATATTTATCATTCTGAACTGTGCAGGTCACAAGCAAAACACAAGTCTGCGGATTTCTTCAGCAACATTAAAAAGGATTGTGTTGACAGATCTTTACAGCAGCTCACCTCTGTTTAGCAGAAAACTCTCATCCTGACTGTCTCTGTCTCAGTCAAACTGCGCTCTGTTTGCCCGATTCATTTTAGCACATTAGAACGCTTGATGAGTGTATTTGCACATTAGATTACCTCTCCGATCAGAATATTAGCACATTTGCAACGGATGCTCCAACAGTCTTTCCACATTACACCGCCCCCCTTTAAATTATGTTTATTTTTTTATATATACATTATGTTCTATATTTTTAGATTTAATACATTTTAGAGTTGTTACTTCCTATTGTCGAGTAGATTCCTCTGATGTACATATTCCTTTCCTTTAGTGTTAAGGTTTATTTAAAGTGCATTTATTTATCCAGTGCTTAATTTGCTCTGATAACCTGCTGATGTAATGTTACAATTTCCCAGTTTGGGTATAATAAAGGACACCTATCCATGCATGCATCAAACAAAGTTTTAGGATTTCAATAGACGTGGGTTTCTTTTTTTTAGCATTAGAGGACAGAGGAGCAGGACAAATTCATCTGAACATTAATCTTACAGTTTGTAGACGCACTATAAACAGAGGGCATAGTGGAATTTAAAATGGAACACGAATGCTCTTACACTGTACACATGTGCACGATCATGCAAACACATTACTAACTCACACACACGCTGATGCAGGTCCCCCTTTGGGAAGCGACTGCACAGTACAACTCTGCACTTGGTTTACCTGGTGTACTTGGTGATGTCTCCATGGAAACGGTTATGTCTGACCTTCAAACATGTGCGCTGCTTTCCATCTGGCTCCGGTCGGCTAATCAGATCACATCAACACACACACAAATGCACCGTTAGATCTCATTAGGAATGAAGAGAAATTTTTGGGGTGTGTTTTAGATCACACACCATCTTGTGATATCATTTTTTTTCCAAGCTCCTACAAAACTTATATATATTAGATTTTTAGGAGTGTTGCTTCTCTGTGTGCTGTTTGCACACTGACAGGCATGTTTTAGATCTAACAAGATGAAAAGTTCCCTTTAAATAGTTTGCAGGGGGTTTGAATAAAGACTTGATTCAATTAGTGCTTCTTTCATCAGTAAGTAGGCCAAAATTCAGCGCTTTACATGCTTCCGTGAATTACGTGTGTCCCCTCCACCTCACACCCCTTCCCTCTTTCATTTTTGCCCTGTGCAAAACTCACATCTGCTGGGCTGTTCGCAAACTCTTAAGGTTCTCCAGAAGGGCCAACATCTGGCAGCTCCTTGAGCCCAGGGCCGTGCATCCGTTCTGAAGCAGGGAGGCCTGCAGACCAGCCCCTCCTGTGGAGCTCAGCCTTTGGTGTGTGTGGTATGCTTCAGAGTCCCCGTTTCCTGAGTGCTTGTGCCTTGATGTGGCCAAAATCATAGTGCATGATTTATTAGTCTTTACTCTACTGCTAATACTGCCATTATTAGGACCGTACACGCCCCACTGCTCCCAACTGTGGACTGAGGCCTCACCAGATACAGTCGATACAGCACAGCTTACATGAGGAGGGTGTGTTGTTGCCTAATGGATTATTAGCCTCAGATGTTAGAAAAGGTCCAATGAGCCAAAAATGCCAGTGAAACAGTTACACAATTTCAGGTCGGCTAGAATGGCTGCTTCCATTTGTGTCAAAACTCCACATCCTCGTTGTATTGACTACCGTCGCCTTGACTGGTTTCCGGGTGGCAGGCCAGGTCTAAAGGGAACCAATAAGAGTCAGGGTGGTGGGCTCAGATGTAAAATAAGTTTTTAGCTGTGTGGCCAATCAAAGCGACCTCATCAAAGTCCTCAACCAGTGCTTACCACAGCCTTCCTTGCCTCTTTTCGTCTGTTTATGTAAGTGCCAAGCAGTGTAATCACCGGAGTCTGAACAGAGAGGAAGAAGGATGACAGGAGAAGAGGATGGAGAGGTGTTGCAGTGAAAAAGGAAGGCTCCGGTGTTTGTGTAAGCGAGGAGGCACACTGAGGATGGAGGGAGAAGGGCAGAGGACAGCGGAAGTAAAGGGTTCGGACACAAGAGGAAGTCCAGAGAGAGGGGATGTGGTGGAGTTTTTGTTTAGAGGCCACAGTCACACAGCAAACTGTGGCTTTGTGTGTCAGCAACTCTGAGTTTTGATGGGTCACTACTGCAAACCAGTATTCAACAATATTTACACAACTAGGCTATAGACAATCAGTCCATTTGCAGGAAGTGTAACAGTTTAAGAAGTAAATACAGAAACCATTAAAACAAAAGCTCCTTCATCAGCACCATTTTTCTCAGAAAGAGATCTAAACAAGCGGAAAACTTAGTGGAAGCCCCCTTTTAAACACTGTTCATCACATACAAGCATTGATCCCTACTGTGGTCCCCGCCGAGGCTGGAGCTTAGGTATCCCCTCCTGGGATTACCCATTAGTGGGAGACTCCCTCGCAGGCAGCTGCCTCATGGCTCCACAGAGGTATCAGATCTCCTCCTCTTCCTCATCTCCTTAATTAGGACAATTAAGAGATTTACAGGACAGATGGATGGAAATCCAGCTGGCTGCAGAGCCTGCCCCAGAGGACTGCTCTGTCGATGATGAGGTGAGATCTGAGTGAGCGCTCAACTGAAGCAGAGACTGTATGGTCACTAATAGGACTCTGGCGCCCTCTTGTGGTTGTGCGTGGAGAGTGGATGTAATGGTTGTGAGAGATGTGGAAAGAAAAGCTTTTGTTCTGTTTTTCTGTCTTTTGAGGAAATACTCAAAAGACAGAAAGACTGTGAGTGAGAGTCAAAACAAATAATATAATTTCCTCCGCTGACTGAGATCTTTTGGGGGGAGTCGGGAGTGCATTTTGTGATGCACTGTGTGTTACTTCTGTGATTCTAAGTGTCCTACAGTAACACCTCGTGGTATATGTGTCTTTCCACTACTTTAAAGTCTAAACTGCTTCAACAGTTAAACATCTGCTCAAAGACTGTAGGCCGACCAATGCAGAGACTTTATGTTTCAACCTACAATAAAAACATGTAAAGGCTCGCTAACAGCATCGCCTCTGATCCTGACCACGCTCTGAACACAGAATATATATATATTTTATTTATTTATTTATTTATTTTTTACACAGAGAATATGAACTACTACCATCAAACCATAGATAAAGGGTCCCACGTTTTAATAAGGTCAGACTGAAACACTCTTTTGTTCACTGGTCAATAGTAAACTTAAATGCCGAGCGGAGTTCCCAGATCAAAGCACATTTAAAGTAAGGCCTCTGAATATTTGTTTGGGGTTAAAATGTTGTGTCTAATGTTTGTATCTCAATCGTCTTAGGTCTTAATTTTAATGTTTGCAAATGGAGCCGCTGTGATGTAAGACAAATTTCAGACCATGTCTGACAATAAAGTTCTATCAAATCAAATCAAATTTTAGAATTGAAATAAATGACTGATTAACTTAAGATTTAAAGATAATAGAATTTCAATTATTCTCTTACCATTCTTAGAAAAGGCTCTTTGCTTTTACAGGGATTAGCTTAAGTCATATTGATACACAGTTTGTCAGGGAAGCATGTATGTTTGTGTAAGTATGGCAATTGTGAAGAGAACAGACTAGGAAGGTTTTTTTATTTATTAGATCAATCTTTATCCAGTTTAATCTAACATATCTTTATCTTTATATGACCAATAAGAAAATGTATCATTTTAATTTTTCAGAGATGTTTTGACCAACATGACACAAAATGTTTTCTACTATGAAATAGAGTTGTCATCATAACAAATTAAAAGAACACAGTGGATATTTATTTCCATAACTGAAAAAGGCAGAGATGTGGTTTCAGTAGATTGCATTTAAAGCCACATATAAATGAAATATGTTTTTTAAATACATTGTTGGAATACATAGTTACATATTTTTTTAGATTGTTTATTGCAAAAATGATTTAATTAAAATATTATTTTCAATGAAGATGGTCTATCTATTTGAGTAAATAGATACATTATGGTGGAATTCGGTTTGGTGGGCTTTGGCAACGACCAAATGTCACTGAGTGAAACTGCACTGCTGTAAAAACACACAGTACGATTATTCCTCCCTCACTTCTCCCCTCACAGACAACGTGCATTTGTCGACAAGCAGAGGAGCAGAGTTGTGAGAAGCCAAAGGCCTGTCGACTGACAAGGTACACTAATATTACAGGATAACTCTGTCAGCCCGTTGAAGAGACAACTGTTGGCATAAAATGGATTTATGTCATTATTTATTTATATGCAAACCTGAGACATTACTTTGGTAAGATGACTTTCTGCACCTGGTAAAAGCTGCTAAACATGAGACAATGATGACACAGATAACAATACAGCCTAACATTACATATCAATCTGTTATGAATAATATCTGCAGGAATGTACACTCTGCTTTTTTCTCTGTCACTCTCTTTTTCTCTTCTTGGCTTCACCTGTCACCGTCGTCTTCCGTCTCTGAGCCGCCGCCTTTTTATCAAACAGTAATGAGACGACTAATTGGCTTGTACTGTAAAGCCGCGCACACTTCTCAACTGTGAACTGTGGCCTGCTGCCAAACTTACATTGTGCTACAAGCAGGCAACCGGGCGATCTGTGCATATGGGAGAGATGTCATTCTGCCTGTTGAAAGTTGTTGTACTATTAGCTTGACTTTGAAACTTATATTTTAAGGTGGAAAAGTTCCATATTTTTGCTATAAGCTCTCCAGATACTGTATATGTTGTTAGAAAATTACACAAAGTACTGCATGAAAAAATGATCAGAAGTAAACCTTAAGTAAAGTAAACCAAGAGTATTTTTAACAAAAACATACTGTAGGCTAAGTGAAAGTTAATTTGGATAAAACTGGGAAAAAACACTCCAACGTTCATTAGACGTTAATTCTTGAATATTTAAGTATGTTAAATCAACACACTGGTTATTTTAAGCATATTGGGGTTCTTACCTAGATTAGAATAATTAATAATCAGACATACACAATTGTTTTTGCCATATTTATAAAATATTAAACTCAGCATTTTAAGGCTGAAGTGTAGAGAAACTCGTCGTTTCACAGCTCCCGTAGAGACTCAGATCCTTCGTAACGAAGCTTTCCACTGCTCAGCCAGCTGTGGAATAAATAAATATTCAGTGATTAAAAGATTTTGAGCGGCTTAATAAATTTGGCAAATAATGCAACAACTTACATGCTCAGACTGCCCTTTTTCTGTTTAATTCCTATAAAAAGAGAGTTTGCAGTCAAAATTAAAGACGTTTTTTTTTCTAGATTTCTTACGTTTACACTGTTAGTGAATACTCACGTCGAAGCTGCCATGCAGTCACTATGGCAACAATTAACACCACCAGCACCACTGGCAACAGGATGGCAGCTAGTTTACTGCCACTCTGGCCCTCCTCAACGCTGGCCTAGCATAAAGCATTCAACAGAAGTTCATCTTCAACCTCACTGGAGATGCAGCTCTACTTGAATTGTGAAGATTACAGTTGCATTGACAGGGTTTTGCCACTAGGGGGCATTTAAACAAGCTCGCTAAAGTCAAAGGCACTCTTTCAAGACATCTTAGCCATTGTGTTTCTACATGTCCTTTGAGTGACCCAAAGAGACACACAAGCGTTCATTAGAGATGTGTTTGTCCACCGCGTGAATTTTAGTCTACATCACTTGCAGTAGTGAATACCTGGCTTGATGCTTAAATATGTTCAGCAGCTAGCCGCTAACTTAGCTCCTCAGTTGGCCGACACGCCCAGTCTCTGTGAGTTTTTCAATTCACTTGAACCCTTAAACATATGGACATATACAAGTTGCTTATTAATCAGGAGGTTAAAACTTTATCAGGTCGGCCTACATGGACTGAAGAACTGTATAGTGAAGATACTTACCCACTTCACACCACATCTACACACTTAAGTATGTTCTTTATCATTCCGTAAAGTTATAAAAAAGAGCTGAAAGTTACAATTATTGGACATAATTTACTTCATAAATTAAGATTTTTACATTTAAACCATAAAAAAATAACAGGTTTTTTTTCTTGAAACAAAACAAATCTCTAAAAAGATTGCACAGATTTTAAGTACTGCTGTAATTACTTAGTGTAATTAGTTAATAGCAGATTTCTTGCTGTTGTTTTTGCCAATTCGTTGTCATTGTTCATACTAAATATTTCAAGGTTCCTGTTTAACAAATGTGAGGAATTGAGCTTTCTTCCCTTGATTGTTGAAAAGCTATTCTTGATAATGCTGCAGTTTGTAGTGTTGGTTGAACAGAAGAAGCATTGTGAACGTGTCACTTCTTAGTAAGTGTGAAATGCTTTTACTCCAACAGCACTTTATTTACAGTTTGGTGCTCTGTTACTTCAGCGAAGGATCTGAATACTTCTTACTACACTGTTGGTATAAAAAGTCTCATGGTGTCATACTTACAGCAGCATGAGTGTCAGTAGAGATGGTGGTAAGATCATCATGGCTCTGATGACCTGTCCGGCACAACCACAAAGATGACGTTTTGAAAGTGTTGCTTTTTAAAAAAAAACAGCTCAACATACAAAAACAACACATCCACACAAAAAAACACCTCTGAGAAGATACTGGGCCAAATAAAATGGGTTTTCTGAGTCTGAGGCAGTGTGATGTTTTTAAGCTGCCTCACCGAGTGTGAAAAGGGGCCCCTACTTCTGCTGTTACAGGAACTGTGAAGGACATGAACCCTTTGTATTGTAACACCAATGAAAAGTCCAGTCCAATAACACACAAGTAACACAGTTACAAAATATAAAATATAATGCACCAATCAGGACACACGTCACCTGTTTCTCCTGTGGTGATGGTGAGGATGTTGCTAGCTCTACTGGTGCCCACACTGTTCTTGGCAAACATGCGGATGTTGTAGGTAGATGGATTGATCTCTATTATTGTGGCCTCTGTTTGGCCAGGGCTGAAATCTACCACTGTCTTTATATAATCCCAAGAGGCTGTGGAAGAAATATACACATAATACTTTAAGAGTTTAATTATTGTAAAGTGGCAACAACTGAATTCTTTTTTTGAGATGTTCTTGTACCGTTTACTGCTTTATACTCCAGGTAATAGCCAGTTATGGGGCTGTCACCTTCAAACCCAGGGGTCCATAAAAGAGCGATTGTGCTTCCTTTTACCTCTTTTATGTCAACCACAGGGGGATCTGGGGGCACTACAGTACAGGACACAAAAAATATCAATAATGACAACAATTATTAAACAGATTTTGTGATACAGCTTTTTATATGAACGTGTATCTTCTGGAGAAAGTGATATTCTGGTGATTATGTCGTGCACAGATAAACAATAAAGGTGTGAATAATACATCTTCACAAATGTGACACTTTAACAACAAATATTGACAAGACTTCACACATTTTGTGATCGACAGAGACTGTGGATTCACAGCTCGAAGACCTACATTCAAAAAATTCTTAACTGCCTCCGCTTTATCTGGTCTCATGCACTACATCACTTTATTCTATCCTTTCTATTTCAGTATTCATACAGTTCTGGTTACTTTATTCCTGTTGTTTCTTATCCATCATTGCACTACTTTATTTATCTCATTTTTACCTTTACAGTTATATTGTATATATTAGTTATGTTGTTCCATTATTCACCATGCACTTTATTAACTTATCATTTAGTATTTGCCTACCTGCACATAGCTCTGTATATATATATATTTATTTCTCGTTTCCTGCATATAGTTCTGCTTACATCTGTTAGTCCGATCACTGTCCACTTATATCTACTCTTTTATATTTTGTATTTTTAAGTTAAGTTTAAGCTTTAAATTGTATTTAAATTGACACTTTATATTTAGGTTAAAATGTTTCGTTTACTTGCACTGTTGTTAATTTACTGCTCTGTGTGCTTTTGAATTGCCCCCCGGGGACAAATAAAGTTTTTTGAATTGAATTGATTTAAATAAAGTTAGATGTTTAGGCGGAAATTTAAGTTTCAGTAAAATTAACACAGCAGCAGTGGAACAACTCTGATCAGCTTTATTAAGTCCTTTTGATTAGTACCTGGTGTGGTACTTGTAGTTCCTTCATCCCAGACTGTAGCCATGGTAACAGCCTCCTCTGCTGAAGTAGTGTGAGCTTAAATTCACAGAGAAAATAATTTCCAGTCATGAGTTTCCTCTCAAACAGTTAAATGATTAAGAAAATGTGTTTAAAACCCAAGAATACATACGTGCAGTAAAACTTGTAATGTCTTGTATCCGTGTGGCAGCGGTCGAAGTAGAACTTTTAGTTGACGGTGTTGATGTTTTGTGAACTTAAAACATAAATTACAGTCTTGTTTAAGTAAAAGTGGCTTTGGAAAATGATAATAAAACTGTAGTTTTAAGTCATATCTTTCAGATATCCTCTAATGTTTACCAGCTTACCCTCATCCAGAGTGGAGCAGAGAGGGGCAGTGGAAGCAGGTCCTATCCCTGCGTTAGTTTTGGCCTGTATGAGAATGCCATACTTGGAAGAAGGCTTCAGGTTACTCAGGATGACGCTCTCCACCTCTCGTGCAGCCGTCACAGTTAAGTGCTGCCACCTTTTGAATTGTCTGCCGTTAGGATCATACTCTCTGTAGCTGATGCTGTAACTCCGGAGAATCCCATTCCTGAGATCGGGTCTAGGAGGCTGGTCAGGAGAGCAACAAACATCTTAAGAATTCCAAAGTTTAACATATCAGTAAGGGGAAATTATATCCTGCATAAACAACCAAGTAAATACGCTCTGTAGTGTTTCTTTATTTTCTTTATAATAATCTTGACTGAGGCTGCAAAAAAAAAGTTTAGAAATTAAGACTTTACCTTCCAGGTGACTTTGATGCTGTGAGAGGTGAGGGCCTCAAGCTGCATGTCCAGGGGAGGACCCTCCGGCGCTGAAGGGAAATCAAAGCCTCAGTTTAAGTTCTTCATATTTACAATTCTTACTAAAAGAATAAATGACGCCTGTCTGTACCTGCTTCTTCGGTTGTTACTGTCAGTACATTGCTGGGTTCACTAATGCCCATGCTGTTGATCGCAAACATGCGCAGGATGTAGGTCTTTGCCGGACGCAAATCCACCAAAGTCAGCTGAGTTAGATCAGGATTAGAGACGGCGGTTCTGACTGCAGAATCCCAGGGTGCTGTGCGGCAGGAAATCAGATAACATACATTCTTCATAGTATAATTTCAAAGATATATGAAGCTGCCCTGTGTCCAAGTTATATTCACCCTGTTTGTGTTTGAGATCGATCCAGTAGGATGTGATGGGTCTGCCGCCGTCAAACACAGGAGTCCACTGAACAGTGACAGTTCTTTCCTTCACCTCTCTTGTCTCCACCTTCAGGGGGTTAGGACGTACTAAACAGAGAAATAAAAATAAATACAACGGTTTTCGTTAGCGAAACAAGTATATTTACTCATTGATAGATGAAACCCAAATTGTCTTCCCTTCTTTTTTGTTCTCTCTAAGTCTGTGTGTCTTACCGGGCACCACGGTCAGAGTCTCCTGGTGTTTGTGATCATTGAACCAGCCCGGTACGTCCACACGGCAGCCATAGATCCCCGAGTCACTCTCCTCCACCTGTCTGATGGTAAGCGACACGTCCCCTTCCTCCAGGTTACCCATGAACAGGTACCGCTCTGACAGTCTGCTGGCCATTGCTGACCCGTCTGACTTGATCACCTCACTGGCGCAGCCTCTGCTGGGGATGGCTCCTCTGCCCCAGCATGTAGACAGCTTGCCATAGTACTTTGCATCGTAGTTGCAAATCAAAGTAACATCTGTTCCCACTGTGGCTATGATCTCTTCTGCAGACACACAACCTGAGAGAGAAAACACTGCTGATGGTGAGGGATATTTTATGTTAAACAAAATGAATACAAAATCAAATTATTCTCATGGTTGACTTACCAAGGAGGAGGCAAAAGAGAAAACTGCAACAGAGAGGGAGATGTCTTCTGCATAACTGAGTCATTTTGCCCTGCTGTCTCAATCAAAGGATTTAGTTCACCTGCTAAACGACACTAAACCAAACCACAGTGTGGTTTCTGTTTTGAAATCTTTCCACATCACATGACGCTGTCCTCGATATGCTCACACAAACAACTTCTGCCGGCAGAAGAGGAATGCAAAAAGGAGCCGTTTCCTTCTCTGCGGTTTTGGTTCCTTATTCTTCAAGTAGCACATTGTTTCTTTTTGATGATTAGACAGAGACACAATCAAGGTTATTTAAAAACTGCTTTTGTTTGGTCTCCTTACTTGTAGCGACAGAGTTACAGAGGCATTCATGGAGTCTAACCATTCAGATTTTCTGCAGCCACAGAATTTCAGCAGGGAAAGGTGCCACTTGCCACTCTAAACACACTTTTACACTCAAAATAGCTTCTAGGACTGTGAAAAGATTTGGTTTTCTCGGATGTTAACATTTATTGTCTGTGGAAACACAAAATGGTTCAACACGTCTTCTAGAGTTGTGAAAATACCAGAATTTCAAACTTCAATACATCTAATAAAAATCAAACAATAGTGATGCCTGTTTCAATACCACAAAGAAGTCAAAACAATCCAATATTGGGTTATTTTGTGTTTTTAATCACCAAAAACTGCAGGCAAGCTTCAGCACACGGTCTAAAATGCACAAATACATTGGCAGTATTGTAGTGAGCTCTGTTAGATCTACATATCTATAGTTCTATCTGTAGTCATTTAAAGTTTCAGTCCTTTCAATACTATCAAACATTAAGGCAACAGAGGTTATATTTTGGTGTTGAAAAGTACTCATGTATCGCACATTTGACCACCTTATTATCTTCATTGTCAAACCTGTAGTCATCACATCCTGAAATGTAACACTGTTGAAAATAGAAGGTCTGGTTTACTCGAGGGCCATGGCCTTTTGAATGGTCAGCAGGCTGCTGAGTCAGCACGTGGGTCTGCAGGCTATTTAGTAACTCAGGACGGAACTTCCCTTTCAGTACTCCCAAAGCCACACAGCTGGTACAACTTTGACCATTTCTTAAAACAGGAAGCTGTTAATTATCTTAAATATTTGAAGTATTTGAAATGTTTATGGAAGTTACAATTTGTATTTACTTCTTGACAATGTTTATGTTTGTAGTATAAAAAGTTTTGATTCAATTCATTTTTATTTAACTTTACATTAAATATAAATGCACAATGATCTCTAAGGCAGCTTCACTATTTATGTTGTTTAATTATTACTCTTACAATATCAACTCTATGGTGTATGTGCCCCTGGTACACTAAAAGCGCAACAACAATAAACAACCTACAAGACGCAGAAGAGAAAGTAAATATGCAGATATGCTACAGTTCAGCAAGTTTTTACAGAGGTCATAACATGAGACATTCCTGAAAACACTGTCAAAGCCACATAAAGAGGAATTCCCACGCTCATTCAGAAAAGATGCATGAGCAGTGTTTTTCTGAGATTTTGCTTACATGATACCAACAATTCACAGGAGAACGGGACAACAAAAACAGAAACAAATCAGCATTTATAGTTACTCTTACTCATTTGAAGAAAACTGGAACAGAAAGAGAGGAAGAGAAACTGTTGACAAACGAGGACATAAAGAGAAATAAAGAGAGAGTAACACAGAGCATTCTCAAGGGAAAGAGGCCCGAAATGGAAAATAAATGTCACAATCAAGACCCTCTTTTTTGTCTTATTAGTTCGATGTGAGTGTTCAATTAAAATATAAATCGATTTAAAGGCTTTATATGCGATTTCTTTTCTTTTTTATTGAGTTTTTAACTTGAAGAGTATAAATCGCTGTATGATGTACAGAATACAAAATATAAAGCCACCCATCCCTACCCGAACCCTCTTATCTCCCCGATCCACCACCCAAAACCAACCTCAGTCCCACCCCACCGCAATGCTTTTAACAACAATGATAGCATAATGTAATCTACATTTACACATATACATACATTTATCCACATACAGTTAGTGAACACAAATAATCCAGGCATTTGCAGCTGCTCCTATTAAACCCCATAATCCTAAAGAGTGTGTCATTCCACTTTGTTATCCCAGTAACAGTAGTGAAATAGGCTATATGAATGGAAACCACATTTTACTGAACTCAGCCTTTTTCCCCCTCATGGTGCATTTAATCATTTCTAGTTTTAGATTGAACATGACTTCCTTCATCCACCTGGCATGGGAAGGAGGCTTAGGCTCTTTCCAATGAAATAGTATCAGACGACGTGCTAACAAACAGGTGAAGGCGATAACATTACAAAGATTTCCTGACCAAATAGCGTTTTCTGGTTTTACACTAAAAATGGCAGTAAGAGGATGTGGCTCAACTGATACGCTGTAGGCCTCGCTTAAAGATTTTAAAATGGTCTCCCAAAAAACATGCAAAGAAGGGCATAGCCAAAACATATGAATTAAGGTGGCCGGTGCTGATTTACATTTATCACAAGTGGGGTCCAGATTTGGGTAGATTTTAGCCAACTTGGCTTTTGTAAAGTGGAGACGATGCACAATTTTAAATTGAATGAGTTATATGCAATTTTATGATCCAGCAGATGTCGCCCTTGAGCACCAGCATGAAACCAAAACAACTTGCGGTGCATTGTTGTGTTAGCGTGCTAATACTAGCGATCTTTATTATGCTCGTATCTTCACACTGCATGTAAATTTACCCGGAAATGAGCGTGATCTAGAAACGCAGTTAAGCAGTGAGTACAGTATGTTATTCTTCTTTTCTCTAGTCTCTCAATTAAACAACTTTTATACGTGAGGGGATGAGTCGGCCGGCCGGCCGGCCCAACGATGTAAACAAACTGAAGATAGGACTCGGAAAACATCACAGACAGTGGGACTCGGGTGTTACACCCATTGTAGACAGTCATGACTCACAGAGTTATTTTCAGAGGATATACTTGATTTCTATTACATTTAATTGTGAAAAATCGCATATAAAGCCTTTAAAGTTAATTGTGGAAAAAAATGGACTGAAAATGTGTGCAAGTCCTGAGAGAGGATTAAGTGTGCATGACAACACTAATCAATTCTAATTTTAGAAAACAATTATTTAAGTTGTGGATACTCAAGAATGCACTCAGAATAATGTTTTCACTGCAGAGTTCAGATGTGAATATTTGGTGGAATAACTGATTTGTAACCGCTCGTGTCTCAACATGCTCTTTTGTTATACTACTCAAGGTGAAAACATGGAAAGAGGCTTGTCTTTCTTCGATGGCTTGTCAGGTGATCACTACATCAGAACCTCATGAAGTAGATTGAGGTGTCCTTGTGTTAAGATTTTACAGTCCCTAAAGAATGGCTTCCAGTCTCTACAGCCTAGAAGAAACGTCAGGATGATTTATTTCGTTAGTATTATTAGGTGTGGACTCTTGGTCTTAATAATGGGGTGTTGTAGGACTGTTTTGGACGGGGCATATTGTTGATGTATGACACAATAATAAAATAAAATCAATCATGTTGAGATTTTGGGAACATATGAGTGATGTCTTAATTTTTCTGGGGCTGTATATGTTCATGTGCATAGTCATAATGTATTGAGTCCAGTAGGTGGCATTGTGATCACAGGTATAAACCATTCACTAGCTTTCTTTTTATGTCAGATTACATTTGCTGTTGGAGAAACGAAGATAAACAAGAAAGGGGAATTAATTAATCACTGGATATTTTTACCTCCTCTGAGCCTCGCATGACACATTTACCCCCCCATGCTCCTCTGCAATCTGAGAATGGTGGGATTCTGGGCGCTGCTGCTGCTTAAGAGAATTTGGTACATTTTTCTCCATACTGATGAACACGCAGGGTTCAAAAGGTTTCCCTCAGAGGCTGAGAACTTAAATTAAATCAACAACGTCATGAATGAAATGGCACACACAGTAGTTCCTGTAAGAAAAAAACTATGCAGACTGTGTTTTTCTTGTAGTTCTGGCCGTCACTCAAGCTGTCCCTTAATGCACACATAAAGTGAGTTTAATGTACTGTATCAGCAAACAAAGTGAGAGGGTTGAGTAAAAGTCAGGGTTATATAATGTCATTAAATGTTTATTTTCTAATGTCAGCTTTTTCAAAAATATTATAATATTAATATTATACTGTTACAAATTTAGAGTATGTGGTAAGTATTTGAAAAAGTTTGTAGTTATGGAAAATTCTGAACCTTAAAAGGCATTTTAAAATTTGACAAATGTTTTGTTTATGCTTAAAAACATTTTTAATCAACATTAATTGGATTTAGACGAGATGAAATTAAATGCTGCCCAGCTATGCCGACTGAGGAAAACATACTTCCTGCTGCAAAAAGAAGAGGACCCCCTCCCACTATAAAAATCCTATATCAATCTGAATGGCACATGAGTCACAAACTAAAATCTCTTCCCTTAAATGGAGAATGAAGACAAGGATTATGTTAATGGAGGGGGAAGAAAAAAGCTGCAAACGTGCCAACGTTCCTCACAACCATGAACGCTTTGATTTCTTCCTGGTATTAAAATGAAGCTCATCATTTGAGGGACGGTTTGAAGTGACACAGTTTAAAATGTGTCTCTGAGGAAGACGAGGTACGTCAAAACACTGGTCCTTTGCACCTAAATAAATCAGCCTTAAGTGATTTTTGCCCTTCAGTACTTTCTTTGGCTATTCTTTTCTCTTTGCATAGAGAAAAGAAAGGCCATGCATAACATCAAAAGTGGATGAAACATACAGTAAGACCAAGTAGAACTGAAGAAAAAGGAAACAGGAATGTGAGAACAGAACAGTTTAGAATTGGACTGGCACAAACTAATCTCTTGTCCAGTGAGTAATCGATGTAGGAAGTTTCACCCTTCAAAAGACTGAGCTGTAAACATACCTCTGGAACCCCACCGATATGAAAACGGGTGTTCATGATAGAAACAAATTGCTGTTCATGTTGAGGAAACTAAAATGAATCAATGTACACAGAACAACTGTTGCAGGTGGAGACGAGCCTGAAGAGAGCGTGGGGAATCTTCTGTGCTTTTTAGTGAGTCATATCAGTAACTACTTAAGCGCCATCTTAACCGATAGTTTGGTACAGCAGTGCTCCGAGTCGTCTCAGTGCTGCATGTGGAGAGTGGATATTAACTGCAGCTATAGCCACAGATTTGTATCCCACAGCACTGAACAGAACAGATATTTACAGTCACACGGTGTGAAGAGACATGACAGACACAAGCATTCACCACCTTTGAAATATAAGGACTAGTAGTTTGAGCCGTCTTGCTGCTGAGAGCAAAGTGAAGCAGCGGAACAGCACAGTTTAACTGCTGATTTATTCAAGTAGGACTCTTGTGAAAGTCTGTAAATGTCTTGCTGCTACGCAGTGCACAGCAGTGCATAGCTACTGTAACCGTCCAAGCTGGAGCTCAATGCAGCTTGTCCAATAAGAGGCGGTTCTGACTGTCATCTACTAAAAGTGATGAACTCACTACTGAGGAGTGATTTCATACAACCCCACGTAAAAAAAAGAAATCATCCTGAGAAGTGTACACAGACAAATGATCATGCCACCATACTGGCTTTTCTGTCATGCCATATTGAGACACTTTTAATCAGCTCTCACGTTTATAAGCCGTCACCAGTAATTGTATCTGCTCTTATTTGCTCAGACAGTGTACTGTAAAGAAAGGACCAACTCTTAGAGGTAGACAGGTGCATATAAAAACAACACTTTAGAAAGGTTCTATATTAAAAAAAAAAAAATTTTCAGATGATTTTCTCACACCTGATCTTATTTCACGCATCTTTAAATATCTGAAGTGTAGTGACTCCCCGTGAAGAAAATATTCCCATCATGATAGAAAGTGCACAGAAAGACACGAGTTAAAGTCAACATGGCGTTCAAAGGTCACTTAAGAAAAGTGTGCAGATTGTATTTTAGATTTGTTTGAAAAAGACAGGCTGTCCATATTGTTATTTTTTCATAACTTTGATTTTATTCTGAAGTTTTTTTTATACACAATTCACAAGAGACATCTACCTTCTTTGTAAATATAAACAATAAGAAGAGTCTCTCACACTGTCCTCACTCTGTCTCAAACAGACTGTGTTAAAGCGTCTCATTTAAAAAGGTTAAACCTTCTCTGTTTGACTTATTATGTAAAAGTCCATTAGGTGGCGTTATGTCCACAAGTATAAACTCTCCACCAGCTTGAATGCGCCGTCTGCCACGAAAAACTGAAGATAAAGGGCAAATTAATAAATCCACAAGATATTTTTGTATCTCTCAGGCACATATGTGACACATTAGCCTTTCTCTGTGCAATCTGAGAACGGTGAGACTGTAAGCTGCTTCTATATACGTATGCCTTTTTGCTGATTGACAGATAGTAGTTCAAACGTTTCTCTCTAAAACTGAGGATAAAGTCGGCTAAAGGCAAACAGATATTCAATTAGCTATGCCTTATAGACATACATAGACTCCTTTGTTCTTAATAACGACGGTCTCTCAAGGCACACTCTCATAAATGTTCTCAGCTGCGGAGGTGTTGAGATGTTCAAGTGTCCTCCTCGGCAGAAATCCTTTCCCTGGTTTGAAGAAAAGAAGAAAGAAGAAAACATTGAATATATATTCTCAGTCTCTTAAAAAAATACGGCACTCTACAGTATGTGACTCCCACTGCTTGATATCTGCCCACTTTTAATGTGTGTGTGTGGAAATTCATCTGAATGGCTCATCAGTCACAAACTATAATCTGTTCCACACTTACGGAAAATAAAGACGAGGATTACGATTATGGAGAGGAAGAAAATAGCTGCAACCCGGCCGAAGTTCCCCACTCCCAGGAACGCTTTGAATTCTTCCTGCAATGAAAATCATTAATATGAGGCAGAATTATATTAAGAACCCGGTTTGTATGCCAGAAATATTCACTCTAGTTAAATGATAGTTTATTAAAAAACTCAAGCGTATCTTTGACCAGGCCACTACTTACTTATTACTAAGTTAAATTATTTTCTATTTTCAATAAAAATGTGATTCTTTAGGATTTAAACAGGTTTATTATCAGGATTCAGATTCTTTACGCAGAAATTAGTTTTTAAAAACGGCTTCTTTTGACCAGTGGACCGGGGTTTGACCAGTTCTTTATTTTTCTACATTTCTTTAAGTTTATTATTAAAAAATAAGCTAAGATGCAGAAACACTGTGCAGGTAGTAGTAGGTTTAGATTTGAGATATCTGAGAGTCCTCGTGCATATAAAACAATTTATCCACATTTTTTTCTGCTTTGAATATTTGATATCAATAACATTTATAAGCAAATGATGCCATACCTCTGATGTTGCAATGCTATTCTTCCCACATATTGGCTCATCATCTTCTGTATTAGTAGACTCAGACGTTGTCAAGGTTTCTGTAAAGAGTTTTAAATGTATAATTTGAAGTTTGTGTTTAAAAGTTTAAATGTGCAAATAAGAAGAAGACATTTGTGATCATATTCCCCATGTTTGATGTTTTAATATCTATTTATTCATCTCAAGTGATTTCTCACCTTGTGCCTCAGCAGACGTAAATGTCCGGTCCTCTGTGACAGCTTGTACCTCGGGAGCTGGTGAGAACAGAAAACCTTAAAGTTTGCTCAGATTCATGATCACGCTGGATGATTCTTTTTTTATTTTTGTGCGTGTGTTACCTTCCTCCAGGACCAGTTGTGTGTTGACCTTATGGTCATTGAGCCAACCGGGGATCTCCACCCGGCAGCCGTACACACCAGCATCACTCAGCTCAGCGTTCAGGATGGTCAGGGACACGTCTCCGTCCGTCACCCTGCCTAGCAGCTGGTACCTGGGGGACTGTCTTATGTCTACAGCGCTGTCCTGTGAGGAGAGGACTGTGTTGGAGCACTTGGACCAGGGCACCTTCCCTCGTCCCCAACAGAAGCTGACGACGCCATGAGTTTGGAAGTCATACACACAGGGTAGGGTGACATTGTGCCCGAAGAGGCCAATGACCTTTGTTGAGCTGGAACACACTGTGAAGGAGATCAACATCTTGGATTAAACTGGGTGATATGGAGCAGATATCATTTATAAATCTGAAATATGAGCTAGCCTAGCCTCTACTGTACACATATGGACACCCACACACACACTACAAATATAAGAAAACAGAAAAAAAAGACAAAATATCGACTTACCCTGTGTCAGGACGAAGAGGAGAAAATACAAAAGACCACGCATGTGTGTAGGCTAGTGTAAACCAATAGATGAAATTCTCCCCCCGCACACACTGAGAAGAACTGATGGAAGCGAGTACTGGAGATATATCTTTGCTTTTCTGAAAACAAGGAAGGAAATCAATTCAAGTCTCATCCTCATCTGGATATAACTTCTCCTTTTACACAGTGAGCTCACAAGGAAAAGGAATCCGTCTTATGTGCCGTTATAAAACACATCACAGCTCATCACAAAAAAGCATCAACTCTCACCTGTAAAGAAAGTATTCAATGTTCAGAATCGTAATTCAACATAATCCTGCACTTAATCAGAGTGGGAAGTAAAAAAGAAGGGAGAGGAAGATGACACACAGGAAACATCATGGTTGACTAAGCGTCAAACACACTGACATAAGCAGTTCTCAAACAGCCTGTTGTGTTTATAGCTCGCGATCGTTCTAAAAATTAGCTAATTTAACGCTGTTACTAGAGGCTTTTAAATTCTTTTTCTCAGTGTGCAGTGTTTTAGATTCAAGTCTTCATTTTCCCACAGAGATCATTAAACCTTTAAATCTCTCCAGCAGTAGTCGTGCCTGTAACTGGAGTAGCAGCAGAAATAGTTGAAGCACGCTGGAGATTGTTGTTGTAATTTGGCTAAGATGTGTTCTTTAGTAGACTACTCTCTTTCCTGGCAAGATGGCTTAAATTACAGGAGTTTTATCAGCAGCTATCTTCAATGCTTGATCCAAAGGCCATGACCTGGATGACTGCGAACTTACACAGACAGTTGCTATCTTGTTTCTAGACATTTTCCACCCGCGTGCAGTCCTTTATGAGTGAAAACAAGACCGTCTAAGAAATCCTGTTAGGATTAAGACACTCTTGTAATTGACCTTTTAGTTCAGGTCTGTATGATACTGCACACTGCAAAGCTGTTTCTTCTTTTTTTAATAGGACAGGGAATGTTTTTTTGAAGTGTAAAGGCCTTTACCACACAGTTTATTTGATGGAACAATTTAAGTAAACAGTCAGTGGATATATGGTGACCTCATTTTCCCTGCAAGTTTTAATTTCTGTCTTAATTCCGAACACAAAGGCACACATGATTGGAATATGTGTTTTGCAATCTTTTCATATGTTTGTATTTTCTCCATAATAGTATTGATTCTGATTGTTCAGTCTGAATTAAAACTCTGGAGCACTTTGTTTTTGAATGTAAGGTGACGTCAAATTCACCATCGATTTGCATGTCTGTGTTTATATGAATGCTCATACTGTGTGTGTTTGTTCAAAGATCATCGCAACAAGTCTAGAGCGGAGTAGTCCGTCTTAGTATGAAACTGAAACTATTAGGCTTCAGTTTCACTACCTGTTCAGTTAATATGTTTAATGTACAAGTGCCTGCACTACTAGACGCACTATGAGACCCTCCTTCATAAACCCTCCAGTAACATGCTCAAACTTCACAGGAGACATTTTGTTTACTTTGGTTTCCTGTTTGGGTTCAAATTGGAGCCACAGTCAAAGGATAAAAGTTTTTTTTTTTAAGGTATAAAATTGCCATTTTGAGCAGAATAACTGGTCTGGCCCAGAGCCAAACTGCCACCACTAACAAATCTTTGGCAGGGCCAATTCTGCTGACGTTTGATAAATCCGCTAGCAAATAGAAGCAGCAAATAGAAAAGCAGAAGCGAGACAAGGACGTCAGAGTCTGTGACATTTTTAGAAGTCATGAAGGAGGGAGGAGTTGTTAAGTCTGAACAACAGAGAGTTAAACAAGTCAAAATACTATGCAATGCATAAATCAAAGCTTTATCTGTTGTCAATTTGAGTTCTCTATCCATCACTGCATTAAAAGGGAGAAAAGAGCATTGATTTGCAATATTGCTGACACGAGAGGATGGCCTGTTACCTTTGACTCAAACATGCTGAGCTGTCTGCTGCTCCCTGGACCTTGAGATGACCTCCACTCCCTAAACGTTTTAGTCTGATCAGACACAAACCATCTGCTGAATGGATAGGGGACAACAGCATGCTTGAGGACGCTTCAGTCAATACTTCCATTGTTTATCCATCACTCCCTCTAAAGCACAATAAACATGTTGTGCAATTTATTGTTTAGATATACATTTGTCTGTGAGGTCTGTAGCACTATCATTTCCTAAATTGTAACATGAACAATTAGCTTCATTCTTGAGTATTTGAGGCCGTGATGGAGACCTTGTGGTCATAACGATGGACAAATACATTGGTTTGATCGGTCCTCTGGTCACCTCTTGAACAAGAGAAGAGGTTCCTTCACTTATTCAAACTTTCAGTGTGATACAATTATAAAGCTACAATGATCTAAAGAATATAATAAACTGGAAACACACTCTGAGAGGGCTTTTTGAACATTTACACCACAGGCATCTGAAAGTTCATTTTATAAATGTGTATTTAAGTGCTACAACCAAAGACAGTAGATCTTAGTGGATGTAGCAAACGCATCTGCTCTTCCTCTACATTCTTAAAGCCAAAAGTACATGTCAATAGTGGTATTTTCACCAAAGTCATATAAGTTATCTAAATACAGTATATTACTCTAATGATACTCCGGTTTGGTTCCAGTCTGGTTCTTTTTCATTGATAATTCATGAGAAAGAATTTGCCTTGAAATAATATTTTCATAAATAATAAGAGGATTTGCTGCAGTAGTTTTTTTTAGTAGAAAGAGTGTAAATAACAGCAAATTTATGACATAATACATGATCATATGAGCCACATAATCACAGAGCAAAGCAGAGTATTCAGAATTGAATAAGCTCACCCGAGCTAAACTAACAATATCATGAACCTCAAACGGTTGAATTGATTCCTGGTCGTGTGTGGAAGCCATGGCAGAATCCTCACCAACAGTTCATGTTTGATATTGTATTCCACGAGTGCCGTGCCGGTTTCTGTTTTTTTCTTTCTTAAGAGAACAGGAACATTATTGAACCAGTTCATAACTTTGGTCTTCTCTGGATACAGGAAGAAATAGTCTTTCAAATATTCATTTTGAATTGCAGCCTAGCAACACGGAGTGCAGAATAAAGTTGAGCCTGTTATTGTTCGTCTATCACCCGATGATCAGACTGACGCAATGGAAACATTGTGCAAACCAGTTTTAAATAACTAATGATCATGACAGAGGTTTGAGGAAAAACTAGGGGATGTGATTTTACAGGTTGACCCATTTCCAATCTTTTTACATCAAGGAAGCGGGTTTTATGACCTATACGGAAGCCAGTCAGCAGGGGGCACTCTAAATATGATGGCTTAATTCCCCTTCAGAGCTTCTCCTGTCCACTGTTATATACAGTCTGTTGCTGCAACTCACCCCAAGAGCCTAAAATATCACAGGGGCCTCTAAAATAACATATTTAGGTTAAGTGAGCGCTCTAGTGGTGAAATAATTTATGATTGTGCAAAGGTGGGAGTCTTGACCATACTACAGAGTAGGGTGGGGGACAAAATCAATAAAGTTTAAGCATACCAGTTTACATACACAAGTTGTCTGTTGAACAACAAAATGTTATTTTCTCTCTTTTTTAAAGAAACATGCTTTTTACACTGATTTGTTTTAACAGTTCTAAAGTTCTGTCAATTTCATTTACAGATCAACAACATTGTTTTCTCTTTTTTGGCTCATTTTGTGGAACTGACAATTGCAGAGAAAACATTAATCCTGCTCTTTATTTTTTTAAGGGCAAATCGTCTACTTAATCAGATATCGTCATCATTCATTATATGGTTATTCTGCATTATAACGCTCATCGCTCACCGTATCCTGCGCCATGTTTTGCGTATCGAAATGTGAGCCACACTGCAATTCCACCCCTATTACAGAGGTCAAAATGGTCACATGGATAAGACTACTAAAGGTCAGATTTTTATCAGAGACGGGGGTTTATGTGCCATTGTCTATGTTCTGCTAACACTACGATTTATCTCTTTACCACACCACCATGTTCTTACTGTACCTTAATCCTGGCAATGACACATCTTTTTTTTTCTACAGCCATTTGCGACACCTTTTTTGAAGGAACAGACATATCGTCATAAAAAATACCTACAGTATTGAGGTGACATGTTGCTGATCACCTTGCTGGAGTTTTTTGTCACTGCTGTCATGTACTTCATCTAATACAGTCAGCACAACATGACAAAAAGGACTTTTACTGGTCAGCATGTGCCATAAGTTCCAAATTGTGTAGGATTGGTGTATTGAGGATTCACATAACGAAAGTTAAAGAAGTATTATTGTTTTTTGTTTTTGTCAAAGCGTCTGAGTTTTTAGAAAAGTGCAATATGAAACTAATGTATTATTATTATTATTATTGGTACTTATCCCTGCCTCACTTTCCGTCTGTTTGTCTCCATCTCTTACTGCGATTCCTTTCGTCATCCAATGTTGGGCTGAAGAGGAGGTTGTCATAACAGAGACAATGTTAGGCCTCAGTGGATATACTATAAAGAGAAAACTCACAAAGTAGGTCATGGCGTTACGAAATTCACATTTTCACTAAAAAGAAAATAAATATTCCAACATGAACTTGTATCACAGTGAGAAAAATATTAGTTGGAAGTATAAGAAGCATGGTGTGTCTTAACCAGTTTCCACTTAGAGTACCTGTCCATGTGGTGCTGTCCTGCATTTGCAGTACAACATTAAACTGTATGGGACTTTCATTCAACCCTTTTTTTTCCAAGTAAAAATCCAGCTTTAAACCGTTTAAATCTATAAATCACCAAAATATAGAGGGTTTCCCTTTTGGAATCCCTTTATATGGGAAGGTCATGAAAATAGTAACAATGTGTAAATATTATATTGTTTTCTGCACCCATATGAGATGAGAATCTTGAGAGTATCAAGTCATGGTAACAGTGTTGTGTCTGAATATAGAGTAGGTTTATTTGTCGACTCTCAGTCAATCTCTCTACCTCATCCATTTCTTTCTAATTTTCCTCTTCAGGAACATTGTATGTATCATCTGTGAGAGTACATGTGTACGTATGGGCAATTCATGCATGATGGATTTATGGCTGCCGCTCCCGGCAACCTTGGAGTCCCAGCCCTTTCCCCACTTCTAACTTCCCACTCTCATCCCTCCTGAGAGTTGGTCTCAATGTCCCCCTCCTCTCTCCTATTAATATCCCACCAGGGAGAGCAAAGCTTGTGGGGAGTTTGGGAGCGGAAACGCCTCCAAGCTCTCCTGGAAGAGACAGAGCTGTATGCAGACGAGGAGGAAGAGAAAGAGGGACAAAGATGAAGTGGAGTGAGGGGAGAATTTCAGATTCAATGTGTAAAAGAGGATTAGAAAGTGTT